TCTCTGTGGCTAAGCCTGGAATAAGGAGAGGGCCTCCCGAAGCACAGACAGCAGGGATAAAGGCTTAAGGATCAAAGTGAAAGACACACAGCCAAAGAAAAATGTCCTGTTCCACAGCGTGGACCACATTAACCCAAGGATAACACCAACCCCCTGAGAGAACTTTATCACATACATGAAGACACAACATTGAAAACATAAAACAGGAAGAAAGGCACTTTTATTTTATCCCAATCCCCAGCTGTTGTGGTTCTGTGTCTTGGAAGCTCAGCCCCATTTCTGATGTCCTGCTAGAGTTTTGAGACTTTCTGATCAAGTGACATTACAATACTATACCCAGGAACGAGCTCATGTTCTGCTGATGGAATGAACAGGAGCTATGTTCTGAGATCTAAACAAACATGACTCCGAGACCAGAGATGGGGGTGGTGACCCCGCACACTTGTTCCTGAGCACTGAAGTCAATGTGGGGGCCTCTGTGTACAGAGAGAAGCAGCGGCTCAGCTACAACACCCTCTGCGTTCTTAAGGGCTTTCTCTTAAAAGGTGTTTGGACTTCTTTTTGTCGTCTTGCCAGACTCAGGTTTCCAACATGTTACCTCTCCTCATGCCAGATCTGAGCACCAATCTAGACATGGCTTGTCGGCGAGGTGGGAGGGGTTCAGAGAGCTTGCTGCACAATCGTGATCCATGCACCCAAGTAACAGGCTGGGCATCCTGGAAATTGCTAGAACTCTAGTTCTAAGGGACCCATAGCCCTCCTCTGGTCTCTGAGCACACACAGGCAAATAAGTACACACACACACACACACACACACACACACACACCACATTCAACTCACATAAATGACTGAATAAATAAAAATTTAGGCCATCACAAACAACTTCTGTTCTCAAAGGTCATTTACCTAGGAGTCTCTCAGACATTATGATAGATCCTCATGACAGTTATGAAAACAAAGACGAGAAGCCAAGCGTGGTGGCTCATGCCTGTAGCCCCAGCACCCTCCAGGTTGAGGCAGGAGGCCTGGGAGTGCAAGCTTATGTTCAGCGTGACACAGGGGACACTGTGTCAAACAAGAGAGAACTCAGCAAACGCTAGAAACTTGGGCCTTGGGGATGGCCTAACTGAAGCCTCACGAGCATATTTACAGGGACAGGCGGGACACATCAGACTGGCACAAACCTGTCCTGTTCGTGCCTCATATAATAGAGGTCAGTGGAAAGCCAGGTGCTCCTGATCGTCACTGCAGACTCAGGGATGCAAGGTGCAGACAAGCTGGAACACCAGGAGGGAGCAACATCTTCGTCAGTCCTGCCTTTCACAGGAACGAACACTACATCTGATTGGTGGCAGAATTGCCAGGAAGTAACTGTCCAGAAAGTGTGTGTATAGTGGGGAGGGAAGGAGGGAGGAGAACCAGCAATTTTGTGCTGTATCCTAGGATGGATGATATTTACAAGCTAACCACCACAGGCCAGGGTGGGGACGGGAAGATCCCAGTGGTAACACAAACGAGCAGTTGCAGGTTTGCAGGTGACTCCATGTGTAAGAGGAACAGAGAACCAGGCAGGGAATGGGCCACCTCAGTAGAGTTTCCATTCTACCGTGTTAGCTGCACGCCTAGTGTTGGTTACGAAATTGGTCTGCATCCATGCGTGCCTACTTAGACAGTGACAACTCAGACAGTTGGAAAATGGGATGGAGAAAATTCAATCAGTTGTAGAAACAATTAGAAATAATAAGGGATTTTAGTGAGGCTAAATTATTTTGTAAAAGGTTTATTCTAGTGTGTGTGTGTGTGTGTGTGTGTGTGTGTGTGTGCGCGCACGCGCGCATGTGCACATGCAACAAATGGCGACTGTTGCAGTGAAATGCCTGCCACAAAGGCACAAGGACCTGAGTTTGGATATCCAGAAACCATGTCAAGAGCCAGGTATGGTGGTGTGTGCCTGTAATTGCCCCATTGGGGAGGTAGACACAAGAGGATCCTGAAGGTCTTCAGCTAAGAAGCCTAGCCAAATCAGCAAGTTTCAGGGTTAGTGAGATACCCAGACTCAAAAGGTGGAATGGGCCAGGTGGTGGTGGAGCACGCTTTTAATCCCAGCACTTGGGAGGCAGAGGCAGGTGGATCTCTGGGCTAGAGGCTAGCCTTATCTACAGAGCAAGTTCCAGAGCTACACAGAGAAACCCTGTCTTGAAAAACAAAACAAAATAAAGCAAAACAAACAAAAATGTGGAACAGAGAAAGACAGGGGAAGAAAGTCAAAAGTTGAACTCCTACACACGCGCATGCGCGCGCACACACACACACACACACACACACACACAGGTAAATGATAGTGAAGTACTTCTACTGACCATATAAAGTGCATGTACCATCTGTAAAGTCAAACCATTGTCAGGCAGACACCCTCTGTCTTATAAATGGGACACTGGTTGGCAATAAGAAGCACAGCCTACTGACCTCACCCAGAAATATGGACGGAGATCTCAAACAGCATGGGGCAGAGGAAACTGGACAGAGGAGAAGGCAAACCATGTTTCCATTCACATATGTTCAAGAGCAACTGATGTCTGAGGACAGTAGTCCCAGCAGCGGTTACCTCAGGGCAGGGGCCCATGAACCAAGGACGCCAGAAGTTCTCTGTCTCATTGTGGACATTGGTTCCTAGAAAAATATATAGTCAACTAAGCTGCAAAATATATATATATAGTCACTAAGCTGCACACTGAGGATTAGTGTTTCTGCTTACATTACTGCTCATGTCTTACACCCCCAGTAGACAGGAGAGAAAAACTTGCAAAGACAATGAGCATGGCCAGGCTGTCTGAGAAAAACTGGGCAGCACCAGTTCCCCAATTTTAAGGAAAAGGGGCAAGAAGGATGTCAGGATATTTTTAGTGGAAATTAAAATGTAAGTATGTTACTCTGGTATTCACTTAAAAAATTGGTGCTGAATAAAGTTGAAACTTGTGTAAACAATGAAAAAGAAAGGAAATTTGACTCAGTTCAGAGGAAAGAGGTGAATTATTACCATGGAAAGAGGGGTGATTGGTACAGAAAGGGAGTAACTAAGGGAGCAGACCAAAGATGCAACAGAAGAGAGCATTCGAATGCCACAGGGCAACATGAGAATCATCTGCCTCTTGCTCTGAGTTCACGAATAGAGTCCAGTTCTGGGCAGAGCAAGCAGTATCAACAGCAGCTCCTGTTCAGCCTCATGAGGGACAGAGCTGTGGGTGGCAGCTAGCTTTCCTGCCGGGGACCACATCTGCCAGTGTCTCCTGTTTCTTGGACAGGCACCAATTCTCCTTACTGATGTTCTTTTGTGTGTGTGTGTGTGTGTGTGTGTGTGTGTGTGTGTGTGTATGCGCGTGCTCATGTGCGCACATGTGAGCCATAGCACTTATGTGAAGGACAGAGGGCAACTGTGCAGAAGCCCGTTCTCTCCTTCCACCAGGTTCAAACTCAGGTGGTCAGGCTTGGCAGAAAACACCACTACCTGCTAGCCATCTCTCTGCTCCCGCTCACTATTGAGATCCCTTGTAGTTTCCCGGCTATTGTAGTTGAAAAGTCATTATACCTTCTCCCTATCCATCAGTCTGGATATTGATGTCCAAGGTGAACTCAGAAGCCACACAGGTTCCATCTGCCTTGCATTCTCATTGACTGTGCACTGGAACCTTCCCAGGCTTTGTGCATAGCTCCTGGAGTTTGGGGATTTGTTCATTTTAGGGAAGATGAGGCAGAGGGAATGCTCACAGACCAGACCAGGGAGGCTCAGCTATGCCGCAGAACTGCCATGGTTACCCAACAAAGTTGAACACGAGGTTTTATGAGTCCGGTTTCTGCTACACAGCCCATGTGCAGTGTTTGTCACTGTGTAAAGATATGTTACTTTTGTTTGTGCTACATTTGTTTAGTTCTGTAAAGATGTGTTGTATTTGTTTCACCTTGCCTGACTAAGGCACCCGATTATTCTAATAGAGACCAAATAGCCAGGCAGAGAAAGGATAGGCAGGGCTACCAGCGAGTGAGAATAAATAGGAGGAGAAATCCAGGCTCAAGAGGGAATGAGAGAAAGAGAAGAGAGGAGAGAATGAGGGAGACACCTGGGGCCAACCACAGTCAGCCCCCAGCCAGCAGACACAAGCCGCAGTGAAAGTAAGAAACACAGAAGATAAAAAGGCCCAAGGCAAATGGTAGATAAGGAGAAACAAGTTAATTTAAGTTAAAAAAGCTAGCCAGAAAGGAGCCTAAGCTAGGCCGAGCATTCAAATCTATTCATAAGTCTCTGTGTCATGATTTGGGACCTGGCTGGTGGCCCAAAAAGAAAAAGCCTGGTACACTAACTTGTTTCCAAACAAGAAAAATTGGAACATTCATCCAGTACTGGTGCTGGACAATTCTATATTCTGTCAATTATATTTTAAATAAATGCTGATTGACCGATAGCCAGGTAGGAAGTGTAGGTGGGAAAACCAGACAGGAAGTAAAGGTGGGGCAAGAAGAACAGGAGTATTCTGGGAAGATGGAAGCTCTTTCCCCAGTCCTGCCCAGACACTGAAGAAGCAGGATGTGACCTGTCCCGCTGAAAAAGGTACTGAGCCACATGGCTAACATAGATAAGAATAATGGGCTAATATTAGATATAAGAGCTAATACAAAGCCTGAGCTAATGGGCCAATCAGTTTATAACTTATGTAGAACTCTGTGTGATTTTTCTTTGGGATTTACCGGCTGTGGGAACTGGGCAGGACAGAAACCCCAACAAACAGGCCCTCATGTTACAAAGTACTTTGTAGAGCTGACAGAACCGGAAACGCAAACCCGGCCCGATGTACACGCACCAACCAACCAAATCCTGCAAGTGTGGCAGTGCCGCATCCTGTGATCCCAGCGTTCAGAGGATCAAGTTTATCTTCTGCTACATAAAGTTCAAGACGAGCCCAGGCTGCGTGAAGTTCTGTCTCAAACAAACAAACAGGATCTCAAATTGTTTTCATCCTTGATTACTGATTTTTAAATCACAATAAGTCAAAACAAAAAGAATGACATTAACAGATATCAAAAGTAATTCCACAGAAGTCCGATTTTGGCAAGGCTGGAGAGATGGCTCAGGGGTTAAGAAGGTAGCTTTGTATTCGGAGGACCCATGATTAGCCTTCACACTGGGAAGTTCCCAAGTGCCTGGAATTCCAGTTCTAGGGAAGCAAATGCAGTCTTCTGGCTTCTTTGGGCACCTGAATGCATGTGTACATACAAACACGCATACACATATACAAATTTTTAAAAATGATTAAAAACCAAAAGCAGATATATAGTTTTGATTAATTAATCTGACAAATGGGGAGTAAGGGCTTCTTTATTTATGTAATGGACTATATTCAAACAAAAGCAGCTGCTAATGTTGTTTGAATGATTAACCAACTGTTGATATAATTCTTAATGGAGGGTGTCCCATGCAAACCAGGCCCTTGTGTTCAGTCCTCAAACTTCCCTGAGGAAGTTTTTTTATTTTTTATTTTTGGTTTTTCGAGACAGGGTTTCTCTGTGGATTTGGAGCCTGTCCTGGCACTAGCTCTGTAGACCAGGCTGGTCTCAAACTCACAGAGATCCACCTGCCTCTGCCTCCCGAGTGCTGGGATTAAAGGCGTGCGCCACCATCGCCCAGCCTTCCCTGAGAGTTTTAACTAATGTGCTATTTAGAAAAATTAGATGCCTAGGTTGAAAAGACAGAGGAAAAATTATCAATTTAAAATATGTTATTACCCAGGCCTGGTGGCACCCACCTTTATTCCTGGCACTAGGCAGGCAGAGGCAGGTAGATGTCTGTGAGTTTGAGGACAGTCTAGTCCACATAGTGAGTTCTAGGCCAGCCTGGGTCACATAGTGATAGCCTGCTCTGAAACAAAACAAAACCAAAGAAAACAAAACGTAACAAAACACCAAAGCAACAACAAGAAGAAACGGGGGTCAGCTTTTCTCCTGAGACAAGCGCCAGTGCATAGGCTGGGGATGACCTTATATAGACCCTAAGGTGAATGGTTGCTGTGTAGACTTTTCACTGAAGAACTGAATAAAAATCCATTGTCATCTTAAAAATTGATCTTTTTAAAAATGTATTTCCTTAATATCTTAATTTCTTTTTGAGACAGTCTCGTGTAGTCTAACCCAGCTTGATTTTAACTCACAACCCTCCTGCCTCTGCTTCCCTAACCACGGGGCTACAGGCACAAAACTGCCCCGCTACGCCTGATACCTTCTAAACAAATGAATGAGCAAGCAGGCAAACAACCAAAATGAAAACAAAGTACAACCCAAGCCAGGGTTTCCCCGTGTAACCCAGGCTGGCCTAGAATTCCTGGTTCTCCTGTCTCAGCCTCCTGACTGGAATGACAGGCATGGCCGCCACCTGGGCTCCGTTGATTTTTAATTATGACTTTCATCAACAGTTCCAAATGACATCAGCGATAAAATATTCTTCTCTGAAAACAAAACAAGAATAGAAACAAAAACATTTTGTCTAACTCCTAAGCCATTGCTACCATTAAGATCGCCTTTTTGACTGTATAAACATCAAATCGGCGTTGTTTCTCTTGACTTTTGTTCAACATGCGTTGTATCCTACACAGAAGTGGGGGCAGGGTGTCAGAGGCAGGGGGCTTGCGTAGCATGCCAGAGGGCCTGGGTTCCTCACCAGCACCATGTGGATAAATATCGAATAGATAAGTAGACACAATGAGTAGGTCACAGGGACTGAAACAGTGACTTTTGCGAGAACCGGAAGGGACCAGGCTGGATGTCTGTCATTTCACTAAGACCTAGGCTAGTTTTCATCTAGCTCTATGACTTTTTTTAAAAAAGATTAAGTTTTAATTATGTGAACGTGTGTGTGTGTGGGTGGGTGAGTGGGTGTGTGCACATAAGTCAGTGCCCACAGAGGTCAGAAGAGGGCATCAGGTCTCCTAGAGCTGTAGTTAAGTCATTGTGGCCTGCTTGATGGGAGTGGTCATATGCACAGACAAAAATAAGCAAGCACACACATACACATGTGCACATATATGCATACAGGTTTACATGCACCAGTATACACACATACACACACACACATTAGAACACATCCATACACACATCTTGCTGTGACTTAATGCATTGCCCGGCTCACCTTCACATAACTGAAGCTGCAAAGCACCCCGAAGTCGGCATGTTCTGGGGCCACTTAGAGGCTTCCTAGCCCTTGCTACAGGATGTGGACTCATCAGGGAAACAAGCCGTGAAGTTTTTAATAGAATCCTCCTATTCTAGGACTTTGTTTTGCTTTCCTTTTTAAGGAAAACCAATCACAAGGGCCACGGTCAGGGCAGGACCCTCCCTCAGCCTGTGGTGGCAGTGATGGATGTGTGAGCAGGGCACTCAGCCTCAGCCTTGAGCACTCTGACTTGGAGAGCCTGCAGCGGGAGCGAAGGCGGAGACTCGGCTTTCCAGAACACAACGGTAGCTTGCAATTAAGAGCGACCCAGATGGCAGCTTGGCAGGCCAGGGAGTGAAATGAGCACCTGAGGCTCAGGAATGCCACCACTTCCCACATTCCTGCCAGGGCTCTTTGCGGCCAGCTTTAACTGCTGGGGGTGGGAAGGGCAAAACCAAAACCAAATAACATGATTAATAAACAGTGAGGCTGGCGAGCCCCTCAGAGTACCCACTGGGCGGTCTTGTTTCTTCTTTTCGTCCGGCTCCAAACAGGCTTCTCAGGAGGCTTAGGCAGCTGGTTTTGTCTCTGTAGGTGTGTGCCTTGTGTTCGTTACTCTGTGAGGGCTTCGTTTTGTTCTGGCCCATTTCTTGCTTTTGTTTTTGATGAGAAAAGGTCTTACTCTATAACCCAAGCTGGCTTCAAACTTGAGGCGATCCTGCTGCCTCCGTCTCCCAAGTACTGAGATAACAAACCACTGCCTGGCTGTTGTGCCCGACTCCAAACTGCCTGTGAACACCCCCTTCTTTTTCTCTTCTGAGCTTTTTATTTTGTCCCTGGTGGTAATGTTCTGGCACACTCTGAGTGACCCGTTGGTGCCAATGAAGAAGGTAGCAAAAGAAACAGACAAATGCTTCTAAGTTGGCCTAGGCTGGCATTAGCATAGCAAGTGGCAAGATACCACAAACCTCTAAGCTGTGGCTGTGTGTTCAGCTGGGATGGTTGTGAAAGCAAAATGGCTACCCCCACACCCCCACATGCCACAGGACAGGGAGGGTCATGCGACATCTGTCTTGCTGTGCCCATCTTGGGTTACTGTAACTCCTTTGATGCTTGAAAGCATCGATGGTAGCTAAGGGCACCTGACACCCCGGGGAAGGTGATACCATAGAGTAATCAAACAATGAACAGAACATTCTTCTTTTGTTTTGTTCTCGAGACAGCTTGGGTACTGGAGTTTGGGGATAACATCTTGCAACAAGCTAGAATAACTGTATGAGGCCAGAAACATCGGTTTTGACGCAATTATTTGGTAGAACGACAATTTCAAGCCAGAAGCAGAAGACATGTGAGGGGCAGATGTGAGACCGTAAGCGTGGCTGACGATGGACTTGCTGGGTGACATTAACTGCAAACGTATGAGTCTGGAAACAAGATGAGCCGGCTGGATTCATAAAAACCACCTGACTAGTGAGCACGCAACGTAAATGTTTTCAATGTTTAAAGTCCTGTCCTTAGAGACATGCTGTGAAATCAGGCCTCAGGTTTCTCCTCATCTCCCTGCATAGCTCCTGCTTCCTTTATTCTTTCAGCTGTCTGCCCCAAGGGAGCAACTTGCATGTATTGGCCAGGGCACCAGGGCACATTTCCTCATTTCCAGAACTCAGTCCAGAGGCTGTGTCTCTGTAGATGGACTGACTCTTCCTGCCTCAGTGAATCTCCAGACATCGTGGCCATGAACTTGGGAAGATTTCCCTAGACTCTGAATACTGCACTTCAGATTTCTGTCATCCACACAGCTGCCTCCTGGCTCCGTGTGACCTGGACCGAAAGTCCTACCGAGCTATTGAGTCATCATCTCTGATTACAGTGGTAGAAGCATGGGCAGGTTCATTAAAACCAACCAGCCAACCAACCAACTAACCAACCAACCAAGTAACCAACCAACCAAGTAACCAACTAACCAACCAATCAACCAACTAACCAACAAACAACAAAACCCCCAAACTATCAGCAGTGTTCAAAGATGGGTTCTGGGTCCTGACCTCCCCCCGGGCTTTGATGACCCCTGGGAAATTGAATAAATCACTCGTGGGACACTGTGCTCAAAAGTCTCTTGTAAGGGTGTCGAGGGTTCAGGCCCAGTGCAGTGGCTTTTAGCTGTGGGATTGTGTGGCGGTCGCCTGGCCTTCAACCTCTTTCTGACGCTACACCCAGGGGCTTCAGGATTTGACCTGATTGAAGGGGGAGGAACGGAGACAACAGCGAAAGCTATGGTTAAAATAGTCACAAGGGCCAGCAAGACAGTTCAGTCTTAGAAAAGGGCATGGGGTGCAAGCATGAGGACCCGAGTTCAACTCCTCAGAACCCACGTGGGAAAAACCAAAACCAAAACAAAGGAACTGGGGCACAGCGGGTGTGCACATATCACCTCAGTTCTGGGGAAGCAGGGACACCAGGATTCAGGTTTACTGAGAGATTCTGACTCAACAAGCAAAGTGGATTGTGACCCCAGTGACTCTGGCTTCCACATGAATTGTCACATGTGAGCTTGTACACACACACACACACACACACACACACACACACACGCACGCACACGTACATTCCCTCCACAAACACATTTTCTCTGTTTCTCTTCTTCTCTCTTTCTGAGAGAGTCTTGCCTGTGGGCCTACAGGAAAAAGGAATCAAAGTAGGGGATGGAAGGGACAGACACCTACAGTAGTGGAAGGATACTTTGGGGGTGACGAGAACATTTTAAATTAAATTATGTTTATGGTTTGTAGCTCTATTGAAATCATTAATAATCATGCTGTCAGGTAAATTACATGACAATAAAGCTGTTAATTTGGTGGTGGTGGTGGTGGGAGCAGTTGTCTGCCATTACAGACACAGGGTCCACCTCTGGCCGGCCTGGCTGGGTTTGGAGCATGTTAGGAAGGAGGAAATCTCACTCTCACCAGATTTCAGGCAGGAATCCCACACAAACTGACTTTTGCATTCTGGTGACAGTGGCCCCTGGAGTAGGCGGCTCCCTGTGCTCCCTGCCTGGGTTCCAGCTGTGTGATCCACCAGGAACAGTGCCCAGGTCTCTACACTGAGCAGGGGGCCAGGCCTCCAGAGGTGACTGTTCCCATTTCACAGTTTCTGCCTTCAGGATGTGGCAAGTTCCTGGCCCCATCCAGAAACCCCCGGTGGCCCTGCCACATTCCAGGATGGGGATGTTTGCAGGACTCTGAGATCTGCTGATCAAAAGGCCGGAGCCCAGGCTGCCAAAGACCCTTGCAGAAGAATAACAGGAACTCAGCGGCAGACTACAATTGCTCCTCCGTGATAACAGTAATTAATAGGAGCATAATTGCCTCTCACTGCATTTCCTATTGCCACTTCTGCTTCCAGCCACTTCACAGACCCAACAGGAAAAGATTTGAGACATTCTGGGCTGCAGTGTTACTGTAGTGTTTTAAGGTTTATTTGTTTAGCATCTATGATGTTGTTTTTATTATATGTCTTGTTGCCTGTTTGGAACGTAAAAAAAGGCATAAAGCAACAAAAGACAATACAAATGAAACGTGCCACACAGACAGACAGTCAGTGTCAGTACAAAGCTCCTCCAGTGTGTGTTGTATTTGATTGCTGTAAATCTCTATGGTCTTCTTTTGCAGTCACACTGAAATATATTGTTTTAGAAAAGGAAATAAAACTTTGAATCTGGTTCATTTTGATGTGTGCTGTCTTCTCTTTGCAAATTCATTATACTAAAGCTGTAATTTTTCCTAAGAAATTATAAGGAAAGAAAAGCGTTGAGCCTAATTTGTAATTTGGCGATAATCCCTGTTTTTTTTTTCCAAGTCTCTAAGCATACTTTGAAAACGTGTCTATCACAGTCAGGTAGGACTGCAGTGTACAAAATTAACATATTATCTCAACTGATTTAGAGGGCTAGCTAGTACATCATACATTAGCATACATGATTAATATACTATACATCAATATGCAAGTTCATAGTAATAGTTAATCACTTCCTATTGTAGATTTAGGTTGTTTCTGTTTATCTATTTGGTAGTTCTGAAACTTGAGCCCAGACATGCTTGCTCAGTGAACACTATCACAGACCACGCTCCCGGTCTGTAGGTTGCTTCTGGCTCCTATTGACAATGAAATTGTTGAGACCAGCATTTTCTACATTCTTAAAGTAGAAATGTCCCATCCTAGACATGGGGTCTCTGCTTCAAAATACGAAAACATTGTTTGTTTTGCTTTTTATTTTCTTTTGGCTTTTTTAGACAGGATCTCACTCTGTGGATGCTTCCGTGGTTCAGCCTTATAGCGCAGTGTGATTCTAAGTACTGCCCTCAGAAGTATGGTGTGCGTTGCGTGTTCATGTGTGTGTGTGCATCTGTGTGTGTGTTCTCCACAGCATGCACATAGAGATCAGAGACAACTTGGTTTTCCCCTTCCACCATGTGGGTCCTAGGAATCAGATTCCCATTGATAACTTTATTGGAGAGCGCCATCTCGCCAGGTTTTCAGCTCAGTTTCCACATTTTTGGTCCTTTGGTCTTGACATTGGCTTATTATGAGGTAGGATCTTCATTTTTTCAACAACATTTATCCATTGGGTCGGATATTGAAAGTTAATCTATTTTCGTTGTTGTTTGTTTGTTCTGAGACAGGTTCTCAAGTAGCCTACGCTGGCTTTGAACTGAATATGCCAACCAGGCTGACCTTGAATTCCTGATCCTCCAGCCTTCACCTCCCAAGCCAATTACAGGCGTGCACCACCACACCTGGTTTTTGAGGTGCTGGGGATTAAATTCGGGGCTTTAATGCACACTACACAAGCACTTTATAAATCAAACCACACCCCCCCATCTGAAATTTAATTTTTCCTGTAACTATTTTGAAGGGCTACCTTTATATGTAGTAAAATCTTATGCTATTTTTAATTTGTCTTGGGCTTCTATTTCTTTTTCCTCTGTCTGAGAGCCCTAGTCTATGCTGCCCCTGAATTATTTCAACTAATGCCATGCATCATCATATGAGCAATTGTATGAAATCTTCTCAGCTTGCCTCTCTGCTGCCGTGATAAA